TTACATTTACCTACGGCACTCAACGAACTTGACATCGAGGACTATGCGGACCAGACAGAAGCAATGACAGAGACCTTTACGAACGATCACAGGACTCAGGTAGTAACCACGGACTTAGGACACATTCGTAAATTATTTGCTATCCTTAAAATCCACCGCAGGGATACTAGGAGCATTAACTTGATTGGAACAACACTTAAAGTCATTGCAGGAACTCCCGACTTTAATGATTGGGAGCAAATAAAGTTTAAACAGAAACAATTAAGAAACGCCGAAGAAGGACAATCTGAGCTACATATTAAATTTCAAGAACATTTAAATGCACTTCCCAATTCTATGAATCAAATTCAGAAAGTAGACAGAGATGAAGAGACCCACCTTTTAGAAATCAATTTAACGCCGAAGGACTATCTGAGCTAAATATTAAATTTCAAGAACGTTTAAATGCACTTACCAATTATATGAATCAAAATCAGAAAGTAGACAGAGATAAAGAGACCCACCTTTTAGAAATCATTTTAGCAAAAAACAGAATTGTTATCACAGACTTAGAAAATATCGGCTATCCTGGATAGCAGCGACATAGGCGAATTCAAAGACAAACAGCCTACTAACATAAGCTTAGTAGAAATATTAGAAGTATGCTAGACATAAGCAAAATTCAGAAATAATCCACTTTCTCATTAAATTTCCCTACTCTAAGCTAGTTTGTAAAAAGATAACAGTTTACCCGGTTCAGCACCACAACAGGATCCTAGGCTTCGAGAATGGAGAACTAGTCGCCGATTGCGCAGCACGAATTGTAAACATCGGGGGCTTTAAAGCTACAGTAGGCACTACCTTCTGCGAGAAACTTCAAGGCATGCGCACAACAGATGGTGGCCTGGGTGACTGATAATGCTCCACCCTACCAGGTCACTTGAGCCCAGTTACTGTAGTGGATCACGGTACCCTCATCATCAACGACACCCATCATCGACGACCTCGGTATAAAACAAGAAATATCTGGTTCATACCTTGTAACCTACTCTAGCAGGGTATCAATAAACGGCTCCTGGTACATAAACCAACTTGGAACTTCGAGGAAAAAGCCTGCAGTCTCAGCCATGACCCTGGTAAACATCACCGCTCATCAGAACCGACTCAGCCTCCCCTTTCTTTACGAGCTGAGCCTGAGAAATCTCCACCACATTTGGACCCTTAGAGAAAAATTTACCGCGGGTTTCTTCCTTAGCTATTCCTTCGACATACTTGCCTCCTTCCTATTGTGCTCTACCATTTGGCTAGGATACCACGCTCTCAGGACCAGAGAACAAGGCAACCCAGGATCCAATGGCGGCGTAGAAGCAGCAGGTCACCGGGACGGCAACCACTTAAAAGAGGGAAGAGTTAACACGACCAGTTCCCATGAGCGGAATTTGTCGAGTTGCAGGTCATATCCGGTGGCCAACACGCGCAGCAAGGAAACTGCCGAATCCACAATTCGGGTGCCATCGCCCCATCGCCCAGCGAATGATCGCCGGATACCAAATGCTGACCTTGCATTTTGGTGACAGCGCTGCTAGCAGGCAAAGCCCTCAAGCTGTGGCCGGATCAGAACCTTAACTTAGTCTACGTTTAGTACTCCGAAGCCATAGCTGTGTTAAGGAAAACATTTATAAATATATCTAACCCTTTGCCTAAACAGGCTTGGGAGTAATAAATAACCCTAAACAAAAATATAAATTAGTCTAAAAGCAATTAATATATACAAAATAGGTGCTATCACGGTAGCTTGCTTTCCCAAGTTGGGATAGCAAGCCACTCCGTTGGTTATTAGAAATAAGATTATAATCCCAGGAATAAGATTTTATAAGCTATGCTCATGTCACTTTGTCAATCGATCTACAGTCTGTTACTCAGATTAGTATCGAGGAACACAAATTTGTCTCTTTGCGGCGGCTTTTTTGTAAAGCCGAACACAAAACAAACTCACACGTAACATATATCCGCTTTATACGTTCTCGTGTCACTGAGTTCTAATTTAATCTATTTCAAGAAATTAAATAGGCTTTCAATTTTTTAAATGCCTTTTGGTTTTAATGGTGTTGAAAACGAGGAACAAAACAAAGTAGTGCATTGTGCGCATAGAATGCAAGTGGTTAGTGGCGAATGGCGTATGTTGGTTGGGTTCTGGGCGAGAACGGCTTGAGTTCTCGACTCCTGCTTTTAAAGGCACTATTTATTCTGTATATATTTTCTTTTTACTTGTTTTAACTTTTTTAGGGGACATTTTTAATTATATATAATAACACTGACTTTATATATTTTCTATATATATTTTCTTTTTACTTGTTTTAACTTTTTTAGAAAATTTTTAATTATATATAATAACACTGGCTTACAAATTTAAATCGATGAAATCCTCCAGAGATCAAACTTGATTTTCCTGTGCAGATTAAAAAAATGGTACTCAACATCTTTTGTATAGTACCATTTTTTTTTAAAGTGTAAATTACGTTTTTCACCTGTTTTCATGCCAATTATATTTCATATCTTCAGTTCTGGAGATAAACAAAATATAAATATTATTTTTAAAGAAATAGAGTTTATTTATTTTTGAAAATATACATTTTTTAGCATTGTATTGTTGACAGCATTTTTTGCTTAAGACGTAATGTATGGTTTGTTTGAATTGGCAATTTAAATTTTAACTGTTTTGTTTGAATTGAAAATTTATATGTCAACTGCTTTGTTTGAATTGAGAATTTCAATTTCAACTAATTTGAAATTTGAATTGAAGGTTTCAATTTGAACTGTTTTGTTTGAATTGAAAATTTTGTTTGTATTGAAAATTTCAACAGAAAAGCTGGGGAAGGGATATGTGGGATAAACATGATATAATTAAGTTATAATAGTAAATTCTAATCAATCTACCCGAGAAGAAACTTACAATTTGTATTGGTCACTCGGTGAGAATCGAACCCGTGCCTCCCGCGCGAGAACTATACGACGCGTGTAAAAAACGCAAGGCAACACGAAAGACTGTTTAAACCGTGGTCAGTCGGAACCGTGAAACTTATGGTACAGACAGTCAAAATTTTCGAGACCAATTTTCTAAGATTGTTATTTTATTGCACATGACAAAAAAATGTATTTTGATTTTAAACAAAAAATTATACATTAAAATAAATTTTAAAAAAAATGTTAGTGTAGGCAGTGTGATTTGAACTTCCGTAGCTTAGAAGTAATAACAAGAATCCGAATATTTCAAATTATTAGAAAATTTCTATAATTTAGGGTTAGTAATATGTTAGGGTCAGGGTATGAAATTTTTAGAAATTGATTTCTATGTTTCAGAAAACACTTCCATACTTAGGAAATATTTTTGTATTTTAGAAGACATTTCTATATTTTAAAAAACATTTTTATATTATAGAAAACAATTATATTTTTTTGCTAGGGCAGAGAAGTACTTCCTATATTAAAGGATGTTTTTATAAGCATTCCTATTATTTAGAAAAAATTTTCTAGTAATACCCTTGCAAAGGGTATTATAATTTCAGTCAGAAGCTTGCAACGCAGTAAAAAAGACATTTCCGACCTTATAAATATTCTTGATCAGGATCACTAGGAGAGTCAATCTATCTATGTCTGTCCGTCCGTTTCTACGCACTCTAGTCTCTCAGTTTTAAAGCTATCTGCATGAAACATTCCCAAAAGTTCTCTTTCTAGTCGGAACGATCGGACGACTATAGTATATAGCATAATAAATAAAAAAAAGTTATCAGTTTTCACTCGGAAATGAATTCGTTATCATTGCAAATTTCCTAGGGAAATTACTATTTCCAACAACTGTTGGAAACCCAATTACCCAACCGTAAATTAAGATAAAATGTTATTATTTATCAAATTCGTTCGGAAACTAGAACAGTTGCGGCGGATTTGCAAAACTCCGGTAGATTAGAATCGAAGCAATTCTGAGGTGCCATCACAAAATAATTTTTAAAAAGTCAAATATGTTACTATTAACCAAATCTGTTATGCGACAATGTTCTTAAAACATCAAAGAATAAGTTACAAATTTCATTTGCACTTAAGTTATCGCAAAGTATTTTAAAATAATTAATTTCTGTTCTTGCGGATCTGAATCCGTCAGCCAAATGGTTGCCGAAAAGTTTCCTTGTGATTTTTGCGGAAGTTAACAGAGAATTTACAGAGGGATCTAAATTCCGTGCAAATCATTTGGATGTGAAAATTGAGGTCTGAGAAATTCGAATCTGTGTGAATCTTTCTGAAGTGAAAACAGGAGCAGGGCTGTATAGGTTTGCTGCTTTTTAAGTTTTTTTTTTAGCTCTTCGACATATAGTAATATTTTACAATAACGGTTTAAATTTCATTAAAATCGGACGACTATATCATATAGCTCCCACAAATAAAATAAATAAAATTTTAAAAAAAGTTAACTTTCATAATTTTAATGTTTTCAAGAATATTTAATTTTTGCAATAGCTGCAAGGGTATATGAACTTCGGCTTGCCGAAGTTTGCTTCCTTTCATGTTTTTAGAGTGATTTTGTTGAATGGTAAAATTTGCAAAAAATAAAACAACCTTGAGTTGAAAAACATTTTCTGGAAACTAAAAATTTTTTCTGGATATATTTTTAATGGTAAACTTTATTTTGAGTGTATAAAAGTCGTTGTTTTTTAATTTAGATGAATATAATTTATTAAGTTTGAACAATGATATAATAAAGTTGCCACAGGAACGATCGAAAACGTAAACGGATAAACGCATTAAAAACGAAATATATTTGATTTATAGAATACTTAAATTTTGAAATAGCCTCGGCCGAGGCTTGCCTATTTTATTGTTTCTTATCTATTTTGCACTTAAATTCAATTGACAATGTTTTAGAGAAAAACAAAACTTGATTGTTTTCTTTCGTTTCTTGTTTTTTTTTAACTTATATATCTTTAACAATTTTGTAAGATTTTTCAGTAAAAAAAAATTGATCTTACTTGCCGGCTGTATAAAGGTAGTAGTATTATCCTTAGTTCGACAATTTAATTTTGAATAAGAATCTGAGTTACTCAATATGTTGTCAATACTAAAAAGTCCTAATCGTCCAGTGTTTTCAATTTTAGTATTTTTCTCATTTTTATCAATTGAAAATTTAAAACTGCTATTAACTAATTTGTTTACATCAGTGCAAACATTATTAGAATCAACTTGAATAAAACTTAAGCACAATTTTCCGTCTCCGAGCGGCCGATTCATCTTGTTTTTAAGACCGACTACAACTTTAAATGTTTGACTTTAAAAATACGTATGCCTTAACACGATTAGGGCTCCGCCCAGAATTCACACTTCGTTATTTCAGTTGCCTGAAATGTACTAATGAGAACCACCATTAGCATTGAGCAGTCAACAGCCAATAAATCTGGTTGTTTACTTTTTTTACATATATCTACATACATATAAACTCATATGTAGTACAAATAAACTTTTTGTTAGCATTGGTAAGAAGTCAATTAAACCGCGAGCAAACCAAAGACCATGTTTTTATGGATGGTGTATATACCAATTTAAAATGTGTTAATTCCTCTTACTAATTTATTGCATATAATAAATGAGCAATAAGATATTAAGTTCGTCTCGTAACTATATTTTTAAATAAACAAGTGCGCTTAAACAATTAAGTCTCATTGTTTGAAAAACTAAAAAAAATACAAAATAAAATACAACAAGAAAGAAAGAAAACTTTGGAAATTCGATGTATATATACCCTTGAAGCCATTACAAAAATGAAATTTTCCATACAACTTTTTATTTTGTTTTCTATGCGCATTTGTTAAAAAACAACAAAGCTATGCCGACTTTTAGATTTATTTTTAGATCAATCGCAGCTATATTATATCATTATCCAATTCTGGTCCGTTATCCACAGATAGTAAAATACAATATTTAATATTTATAATAAATAGTTACTATATTATAGAGTTAAATTTAAAGTCAAATTTAATGAAAAACAGCGAACTTATCTGCAATAAAAAAAGGTTTTTGTTTTTGGAAAGATTTTGGTTAAATAAATAATAATCGTCACAAAATTTGATATAAGATATTTTTTGAGTTAAATATGTGATTATTATTCATACCTCGCCAAGAGATATTTTTGCTTTATATGAGAAGTTTTTGTTTAAAACTTCCGTCCTAAGTCTGCAAGCTCCAAAACCTAGTTAAAATTAAAAAGTACCACGACCACAGTTCACCATGTATGACTTGGGTATTGGAAAAAAGAACGCCACTTGATATCGCACTGGCACTGTAGCGTCATTTCCAGTCGGCACCTTCGAAAAGGTCTGAGGTTTTTTGGCAACCAAATATGTTTGTTAGAATGTGTTTCACTTCCATAAAGTAAAATTTCTAAAACCTAATTAATTATAATTATTAACTAAAAAATATAAATATTCCCCAAATAATATAATTGTTGAATTGAGTGTTCTGATTCTTGTTTTTGCTTGCTTTTATTGCGAATGAAACCGTGGCCTAGGGTTAGAGCGTATAATCAGAATTCTAAGCTACGAAAGATCAAATCCCAATGCCGACAAAAACATCAATGTGGACAAACAAAATACTACTTTTTATGAAAACTTAATTGATGTCGAATATTTTGAATATCTGCAACATGAACTTTCACGGTTGCGACTTAACGAACTTTAGAAACAAAATATATTCTGGTTCAAATAGTGTTTCGTTTTGCCCTGTCGTCTTTGCACGCGTTCATGAAGCAGTATGAAGTCGGTTCGCGCGAGGTACCCGGGTTCGATTCTCACTGACGGACTCATAAAAGTGTACATATGTCTCAGGAGTTGGCAACGAAGTGAAGGAGACAATTTCGACCCTTATAAAGTACATATATTCTTGATCAGCATCACTAGGAGAGTCGATCTAGTCATGTCCGTCTGTCCGTCCCTCCGTCCGTCCATCCGTCCCTCCGTCCGTCCCTCCGTCCGTCCATCCGTCCGTTCGTCCGTCCGTCCGTCCATCCGTCCGTTCGTCCGTCCGTCCGTCCATCCGTCCGTCTGTCCGTCTTTCCTTCCGTCCGTCCCTCCGTCCGTCCATCCGTCCGTCCATCCGTCCGTCCGTCCGTCCGTCCGTCCGTCCGTCCGTCCATCCGTCCGTCCGTCCGTCCGTCCGTTTCAACGCAAGCTAGTCTTTCTGATCTAAAGCTTTAATATTACATTTTCTGACGATTATTATTTATTTTACCAAAAATTTAACTTTAAGTTATTTAATTCGTTTATAATTCAACACACTGATTTGAATTGCTTAGTAACAGGGCTTGATTATATTGCGCAGCTTTGCGCCGATTACGACACTAATTAAATAAATTACAGTTATTTTTTTGGTAAATTTAATAATAATAATCGTCACAAAATTTGATATAAGAAATTTTTGAGGTTAGGTTCTTACCTCGTCAAGAGGTTAAACCTATCCTTATAATATGTATGGAAGAGTTGAAGAATGATCGATTTCTAGGAAAATAAGCTATCGATGACCGAAATCGGTAAACTGTTGAGGAACTGTATTAACCATTAAAGCAGTTCACTGTTAACAATAGTTCGATATTTACAATTTCGGTGTACACAGAAATACTTTAAAAAAATAGTAATTAATAGTATTAAAGTAATATAAAACAAGAAAGAAAGCAAACTTCGGCAAGCCGAAGTTCATAAGCCCTTACAGCTATTGCAAAAACTAAATTTTCTTGAAAACATTAAAATTATGATTTACTTGCGTTTATGTTTAAAAACATTGAAGCTATGATGATTTGCAGCTTAATTATTTGATAATTGCTATGGCAGCTAAATGATATCGTTTTCCGATATAAATAAAATTAAAAGCGTAATTCTGAACTGTCAAATTAATAATAAGTTCAAAAATAATTTAAAAAAATAAAAAATAAAAAATATCAAAGTTACATTAATAAAAATTTTTATATATTTTTATTGTTTCCATGGGAGCTATACGATAAAGTCGTCCGATTTAATTGAAATTTAAACCGTAATTCTGAAATATTTAGTCATTACTATACCTATGTCAAAATGCCATTACTATAGAAATGCCATTACAATAGAAATGCCATCACTATAAAAAAAAATCAAAAACAGCTAAGTTATAATTTTTTTCATGTTTTCCGATTGTTCCTATGGGAGCTATATGCTTTAGTCGTCCGATCCGGCTCGTTCCGACTTATATAATACCTGCAAAATAAAGACAACTTTTGGGAAAGTTTCATGCAGATAGCTTTAAAACTGAGAGACTAATTTGCATAGAAACGAACGGACGGACAGACAGGCAGACGGACATGGCTCTCCTAGTGGTGCTGATCAAGAATATATATACGTTATAGGGTTGGAGATGTCTCTTTCACTGCGTTGCAAACTTCTGACTGAAAATATAAATATGCTTACTTATTTAACAACTGTGAGGTGTCTTAAAACTCCCCACAAATTTCGGTGCAGGAGAACTGCATAGCAAACGCGAAGGAGGCTAGAATGCCAGAGAAGTCAAGGGCAGGTCAAACTGTAAACAACGGGCCTTGGACCCGAGCAAAGCAGAGACACCGTGAAGTAACGGTACCGAGCTGGACATTGGACCATCATAAGGCAAGGCCAATAAGGTCGAACGGTAAAAAGACGAACTTCGGACACGCACAAAGAGGACTCATAGTGCGGGAGACCAGTAGCAAGTTAATCAAGTGCCGAATGCCAGAATCTAGATGGCAAAGTCGAGACGCCGAACGACGATTAGTCTACAAGGCCAAGGCTACAACGCTGAGATCCAACGGAGGCTGATTAAATCGAGGTCAAGAAGTCCTTGCATGGAATCTGCGAAAAAGGTTACTGGGCAAAGAGGCAGAACATAGTTCTACCTGTTGGGCGCTACACCTTAAGTGAGGTGAGCTTCGTCAAGAGCAACGCCGCAGAGAACAGCGTCGAGGAGCAACGACGCAGAGGATAAAGACGAGGAGCAACACAACACCAACACAGCCCTTGCGCTAGTCGAGTAGAGGCCACTATGGGTCTGCGTGGTTACTAAACGAAAAATATTATCGTGATATTTTTTGAGCCAAAATAGCGAATATTAGTTTATATGCCTTTGCAGATGGTACTATAATTTCAGTCAGAAGTTTGCAACGCAATGAAGAACATATTTTCTACCCTATAAAGTATATAAAATAGATTTTTCAATTTGAAATATATTAAAAAAACGATTTTTATTTTAATATACAGTGGAGTTTTATTGGTAAAGTTGAACTGATTTTACAATTGCATTATTCTTATAACTATGGCTTCAATTGGTTGAAATGGTGGCCTGATGAATGACAACCCATTTTTTGTTTATCAAATTTGGATTGGTCAAAGCTTTTATGCTGATGAATGGGTTATCAAGCTGGACTCTTTGCTTAAAAGTTTATAATTTGTTTATGTATTCTGTCGTCGGTAAAGCTGTGTGAAATGTTTATAGTAAGGGGACTGTTGATAACAGACGTGGGAAATGTTTATGTCTAATGGGAAATGTTTATGTCTAATGGGAAATGTTATATCGGGATATACTGGCTAGGTGTTATTGTTATGTTTGACAAATGAAGTAATGGGTATCTCAGGATATACAGGCTGGGTGTTAGGCTTTATGTCTAGAGTATTTGGTAATACGTCACTTATATATTCGTTATCAGCATCACTAGGAGAGTCGATCCAGCCATGTCCGTCTGTCCTTCTGTCCGTCTGTGCGTCCTTCTGTCCGTCTGTGCGTCCGTCTGTCCGTCCGTTTCTACGCACACTAATCTCTCAGATTTAAAGCTATCTACATGAAACTTTTCCAAAACTTGTCTTTTTATTGCATATAACACATAAGTCGGATCGAAAGACTAAAGCATATAGCTCCCATAAGAAGAATCGGGCAAAAAATAAAAAAATTATAACTTTGCTGTTTTTTAATTTTTTTTAGTTCTTCAACATATAGTAATGGTTAAATATTTCAGAATTACGGTTTAAATTTCATCAAAATCGGATTTTTTCATATAGCTCCCAAAGAAACAATAAATATAAAAAACTATTTTTTTTTAATGTAACTTTTCTGTTTTGTAAAATAAAATAACTCCCACATATACGGGGATCCTTGCCCCTTTTAGGTACTGTGGTGGTCTCCATTGCAAATCCGTCAAGCAACACCATCACCTTCTCTTCCTTGTTCTCCATGTTGGCAAATGCCTCGGTCGCATTATGGAAATCCTGCTGAGTATTAAAGAGTTGAGTAAACTCATATTCAATATTTATACCCTTGCAGAGTGTATTATAATTTCA